CGATGCATCGATACAAAACGATTATTATTTACACCCCGAATATCCAGGTATGGTCCCGACCATACCACAGTTCCTCCAACATTTGTAGCCGGGGTTGTTCTTGTTAAAATAATCCTGTTTGGAGTAGGGTTAATGATGCATTCAGAGTGTGTGGGAAAATTAATACTCTCAGTGAAATACTCGATGGCTGCAATAGCTATCGTTTGTGGGAAAACTGGAGATACATCGAGTATATTCGATATGTCGCCCACCTCCTCGGTGGAAAACTCTGCATCAACGCTGCCATCGGAGGAGAGGAGATGATCCAAGCCCACATCATGACACCGCCTCCTCCCAGCAGACTCTGGTTGCTCCTCTGGCCCAGCCTCTCTGCTCGGTAAACTCTGGGATTTAAGTTTAAAACAGCACAACCATCGTGTTCTCTGTCTGCAATCGGCTCATGTATGTAAACGACGTGGTTATAAACTCAGACATGACAGCGGTTCAGTTTCCTGCATGATCTATCGCAGCCGGGTCCAAACCCACAGGACTCATCAGTAGATCCTCAGCAGAGAGCATCTGTGAGGAGATCCTCTGTAACGTTTAAAGGCCTCATGCAGCCATTAATGCAGGATGTGTGATGAAGAGGAGCAGTGCTTCATCAACACCTGTCTGCAGGAGAACAAAGTTCTGGACGGCGCTGCTGCAGCGTTCAGCCTGAAACCTGCTGCAGAGGAAGCTTCTGGACGGCAGGCAGCTCTCAGATCAGCACCATTTCCTCCCAGATAAGCTTCAAACTGCCGACGCCCATCACGCTGTTTTCTCTGATGGCCCCGCCGCCCCCACAGCACACATGCTAAAGGCTAACCCTACAGCTTCCTCTAAGGATCTTCTCACATTAGATGGACAGCTGTGAGGCTATCTTCAGTCCAAAGACCAAATCTGAAAGTTTGGCACCAGATGTCCACAAGTTCTGCTGCAGCAGCTACAGAAACAACCAGAACCACCTGATTTCACCCAAACCTGCTAAAAAAGCTCAGCTCTGTTAGTGACAGCAGCTGGTTTACTAACAGGAGCTAATGCTAAGCTAGCCCTGGAGGAGCCGTGTGGTCTCAGCAGCTGATTTAATGATAACCCAGAAGCAGCTGTGATCACAAATCTTGATAAATCAAGTTATCCTGAGCTATCTCTATAGTTCTGCTGCTATAGGCTTAGACTGCTGGAGGACATAGGGACCCCTTTTTCATCATTCTGCTTCA